TAGGTCAAAAATTTTTGCGGATTCGGATTCCTGAGGGTCGAAAACATATTTGCGCCCAGGTTTGATCGACAGAGGAAAAAATGGAGGTTCAGCCTTCATTTCAATGGACTATTGTAAGTACCCCAACTAAATAAATACATATTATATAACAAATGTAAGGCAGGTATTATAATTAATTGAGGTGTCAAACTCACCTTCCTCGAAGCTCCCCCTGCCGGGCCCCCTGATCTGTTCATTGACGAAATTCGTCGACTTGGGCACATTGAGCGCCGACCTGATTCCAACGGACGAACCGTCCAGGTGACCCGGTCCTATTTTGGGCACATGACTGTTACAGTACACTTCCTTGTCCTCCTGCCGGTGCTGGTTGTTGTAGTAAGTCTTTAGGGTCAGTTTGGTGCCGCAGACCGCGCACTTGAAACAGCCGCTGTGAAAGAAGGTGAAGTCCTTCAGGGGGCCCACACGGTCCACTTGGTAGACGGTCTCGTTGCACCGCAGACACGTGCTTTCGTAGAAGTTGGGCCGGTACATGGCTTTGTACGAGTTTTGCAGCATATTCGTTTTCTTTTTGTTCGATGCACTTTATTCTAATTTGAGTTGAATCGACTCCGGTGATTGTTTTTCATTAACACACTTTCCCGTCATGCATGGGCGTCGCTGCAAAAGAAGTTCATAATTAATATCATCGATAATTATTTATTTTTCAAAATAAATGCAAAAACGAAAAAAAAATTGTTCTAGAAAAACATTATTTTTCATAAAGTTGTCTTGTCTCTTATTAATTCAGGAATAAGACTACTTATTTTGAAAATTTATTTATTTGAATTAAACAAATTTTACAATTTATCTGAAGTTATTTATTTGTGACACAGTTTTAGTTTTTTATTGATTTTTTTTGGTATTTTGTCCCCTGCGAAAAAATTTAAAAATTAGTGAAATAAATCCTTACGCCAAAAGGATCAGTCAAGAGTTACTTTTCTGGAATTAGTTTTGCTTAGCCTAAAAATCTCTCACTTAAAAAAACAGACAAATACAAAAGCACATCACTTTATATTGCACGTTTTAAAAAGTTGTTAACGTTTCGAAAATCCTCTGTTTCCGTCTACTGAACTTTTTTCGACTTTTTGTTTTAGTTATCTTGGCAGTTTTTTGTTTGCTTTTGTCTGTTTCCATAGTCATACAAATATCATATGATGTTTATTCTATTATTACTTACTTCATCTTTTCATCTTACTTACTTCATCATATGATACACGGTGTCTCATTTTAAATTACGCATTGCAATCTTTTCTTAGGGAAGTCACTTTCAAAATAAAAATTTAGACAAAAGTTGTAAGGTTCTGAGGGGGACATTCGAAGGTGACCTTGACACAATGGTCAACCGTAGAGGTCATTTGAGGGTCAACTTGAATTTTTTGATATGATAGATATATTTCTGATACAGGAAACGGATAGAGCGGATTTTCTGTTCAGATATGTCTTTATGTCTTCGACCCAGGTCACTATCACCTGGGTCAAAGCAATCTTGCCTTGACTGATCGTTTTATAACGATCTTACCTTGACTGGCTGGGCCATAGTTATCTTTCCTCAACTTAATGGTGCCGTAAATAGGGTACTCCTATTTCGTAAATTCAAAGAACCTTCAAACTTGATCATGATCAAAGTCATCACCGTATCATCCCATCAATCCATAAAGCTTTCAACAAGAATCCTTCGACGTACTTTCCCGAAAAATATCGAAAAATCTTATTCAGAACCTTATGTGACTCTAAAATAACCCTTTAGGGTAAAGACATATCTAAACGTAAAATGTTCCGCTCTATCCATTTCCGGTGTCAGAAATATATCTGTCATATCTAAAAATGCAAATTGACCTTCAAATGACCTCTACGGCTGACCTTCGTGTCCCAGTCAAGGTCACCTTCGAATATCCCATTCGGAACCCTACAACTTTTGTCTAAAAATGTTTTCTTGAAAGTGCTTCCCGAAGAAGATATTGCAATGCGTTATTTAAAATAGGACACCTTGTATATCTAGCTACGGAAACAGAAAGCAAACAAATTTTAACTAAAACGAAAAGTCAAAAAAAGTTCAGATGATGAAAACAGATAGATTTTCAAAATGTCAACAACTTTTTCAAGTACGCGATATAAAGTGATTTGTTTTTGTATTTTGTATTTGTTTGCTTGTTCAGTGTGAGATTATTTCGTTGGGCAAAACAATCTTCATAAAAATTACATTTGATTGATCCCTTTAGCGCAATGGTTTATTTCAATTTTTAAATTTTTTCACAGGTACCAAAAAACCCAAAAAAATGAAAAGAAAATTACAACTTAAACCATAATCAGTTATCATTATTGTCTTTATTCGACATTTGCAAATAGCGATCAACTTTATTCTAGACGGTAATCTCTGAAAACTATACCGGGTAGGAAAGTACCGATGGTCTATCTGAAGTTACGTGAGAGCGATAAAGTAAGCCATAGAAATCCATGCGATAGAGAAGGATGGCTATAATGAAGGCGTCTCATAGTCACCGCCCGTTTCGCCCTTCCACAAATAAGATCCACTTCTTATTTGTGGAAGGGCGAAATGGGCGTTGACTATTAGACGCCTTCATTATAGCCATCCTTGTCTATCACATGGATTTCTATGGCTTACTTTATCGCTCTCGCATAACTTCTGATCAGTACTTTCCTACACTGTAGACCATCGGTACTTTCCTACCCGGTATATTCTGAAGCTTCACTTGTGGTGCAATAATAATTATTTTTCGATGGATTACTAAGTATCGATGCTGGCGAAGTAACTCAACCACTTTCGAAGATAGTTTATTGGACACCTGAATTTAATTCTCAATAGAGTCTTAAAAGTACGTTTTCGCCACTTGATACGTATACTTTCAACTCCCATCTCTTTTGTTGGAGATAATATTGGAATGAGCTGAAATCGTCACATAAGAGTGTCAAAAAAAGTGACGCGTATAGTTTGTCAGATGTTTGTCTTTTAGTGTAACGTCACATATTTCGGCAGCCCGCAAAAAATTGTCATACTTGAAATTGTACAGATCGAATCTGACCCTTGTTTACTATTTACATAGATACTATAGAAATGAACAATTTCAAATTAACTTATTTTTACACGGATTTAGAAATATTTAAGAACACCCAACAAGTGTTTCATAAAATAGATACATTAATGTGCTTAAAACTTACAAAAAAACGATATAAAAGAATATTCCTAAATTTAAATAAAGTAAAAATTTAACATTAGCCGTGTTATCCCTAATGCGCATGCTCGGAAGAATAGCCTCATACGCAGATGAGATCTTGTTGATATATCATCGCTGTCAACATTAATGTATTTTCTCTTCTTTTGTTTAATCTTGGCATTTTCTAGTTCTACTAAGTATTTTTTATTGTTTTTCTTGGTGCTCTGCTGTGTCGGTTTGTTTATCGAGTGTTTTTTTTTTTCAAGTGGATTATTATAGACGTACCTACTCTTAATTTTCTTGAAAGGTTACTTCGCTTTTAACATTGATATAATTTTAATTTATTAATTACTATAAAAGTCAATATTGTTCTATAAATTTAAATATATAAATTCTATGATTCTTTTAGTTTGTCACTTGGGGTATGAAACATCTTAAATATTTATAATATTACCTGAATATGGCGACATTTAAGGTCATGATAAAGAAGACATTTTTTTTGGAATTTATATCCAAAGTACATAAGGTCGAAAATCGATCTAGTAAAAATACCGAGAAATTCTTTATGACAATGTGTACTATAGGGTTGCCCATTACTTGGCGTATGTGACGTCACTACTAAAAAGGTCGGTTTCAAATATGCAGCGATTTTTCTTGGAGATCTGCTTATTCTATTAACACGAATCCTTTAATTGCCACATATTCTATTAGCATAACAAAGGAAAAAATTTCCACTTTTTAGTAAACTTCGAGGTCAAAGTAATGTATTTTCGATATCATGTAACATGAAATTCGTCTGATGTAGCAAATGTCAGCTACGTGTCTTGCTGTCAGAAATTTTAATAATAACCACTTCTTCTGTAGCTTGTACTGTAATATTTAGTATATACAGGGTCGGAAAGTCCCCATGGTTCATCGGCCGTTACGTGAGAGCGATAAAGAAAGTCATAGAAATCCGTGCGATAGAGAAAGATAGCTATAATGAAGGCGTCTAATAGTCACCGCCCATTTCGCCCTTCTACAAATAAGATCCACTTCTTATACATACATAACATTGATTCGTTCAAAATTGCATTCAAAACAAACCAGTAAAACATTTTCAATATTTTTTCATTTTCTTTTCAGTACATTTTTTTCTGAAAGTCATTATAAGATGTTTATAGTATATTGTTTACTATATTGGAGAGGTTTTAAGCTAATTCAACTAAATTCAATAAAATTCTTGTTAAAAAAATCCTATAGGATATCTATCTATCTAGGTATGGAAACGATATCTAACCTCTCTCAGGCAAGATTCTTGACTGTTAATATTATGCAGGAAACAACAAATCTTTGAGCTACATGTCCCAACTAGCATTGAATTACACCAGCAATATCTACTAAATAACTAGTAATTAATAATTATCCAAAATAATGAAAGAGTAAATATGAAAAAATCAATTAATGAAAAAAGGTATTACAAAATACAATTAAAAAATAACAATATATAATGGGGGTGTTTTTGTATAGAGCCAAAATGAAAAAGAATCTGTAAAATTTAAAAATTTGTATGGTAGTCGCGAAAGCTATTAACAAATAAACAAAACTGGCACAACATATTAAATTTAATTTATTTAAATGATTTTTTAACTTAAGGTTCTTTTGAAACAAATCTAATTTCGTAATTTCAAATCATTTTATTATATAATATTCATTATATTTCGTTATATTTAATAACATACTATTTTGACATATATTTATGCAATAACGGATTATAACATTAAATTAAAAAAGCTGTTACCTAGCGCCAGAGGCAATCATAACTTAAGTATTGGTCTTTGTTAAGAATTTTATAAACGTCTTTTATTTGGAATTAATATCTGCTTTGTATAATTCTGTAGTGCACCAGATAATCCTCAAGCGAAGTTAAACTGAGATAATGGGTAAAATAAAGTGAAATTTAGAGATATAGTATAATATAAAGAGAAAGTTTTATTAGGAGAAAACAGAAGAAAATTAAAAATTAATTATCATAATCCACCAAACACACATCAACTTCAAAAGGTGATGTGTGTGAAATAAAAAGAAACAATAATTTACATCTGTATAGAAAACGAAAATATTAAAAGATTTACTATGACGATGTAGGTAATGATGACACAAAAGCAGCAAGAATATTACCTTTGTAGATCATCAATTTAAGATTAAGTACATTTTTGCACAGTAAAATTTTAGATCAGAAACTCGTTTTTATAAATTACCTTTCATTTTTATTATTAATACTACCAATTAGCTTTTTATCATACTTTTATAAAACTTTTTATAAAATTTTAAATTCTTTTATTAGGAGTAGCTAGTAGCCAGACATGTTGTTCCAGTTGATTATAATGGTTTCATACATGGAATTTGATCGACATGCTTTTCGGCGCAAGTACTTACATGTTAGACATATATAGAGAGATCTCA